GTGATATATGATTAGAATAAAAATGTGATATATATGCAAGTCATCCCTAGGCTTGGAGTAAACCAAATTACAAATTAGTTTATACGAATTAAGTATACGAACAAGTATCTGTAGGATGTATGCATGCACATTTTAGGACATATATTTTACCTAAAATATATAAGATACATATTTATAGTAAATAGTTAAATGTAAAATTATATTAATGACTTGTGAAAGAACCAGGTAATAATAATTATAAATATTTTTGAAAATTATATTTATACAATAATTTGTATGAAATAATATCAAAATAAGAACCATCTTATTTCATAATGCCATAAATAACTTCAAAACATTGGTCACTGCTCTTGAGGTCACTTAGCTCTTCTGACTGTGGTCCCTAACATGAGGTCAGTTCTCTTGAGCTCTCACACCTGAACTCTAGAAGGGATGGTGATCAAACTATAAGAATTAGGAAACCAAACTGAAGAAAAAGACAGTTATGTTTTGCTTAGCAATGTCAAACTTGTATCATGGAACTATGTAGCATTTTGAAAATCCTTGGGGATGATTAAATTCATACCTATTGATACCCGGTGCCTACTCAAGCATAAACACAGTGCCTCTGAGGACTTAAAATTACTTTTAAAGGATATTAACACAATCCATCATATTCACTTTGGAATTTTCTTACTCTAATACTATAATAATGTGCTGAGTCAGCTTAGCTGAATCTAACTTTTCTTGAAGCGCTTTATTCTGTTTCACAAGTTCTCATTTCATTGACCTAGATGACCTGAACATAAGTTTATAGAACTGTTGTCATTGAATTCTCTTTATAAACTTAAAAAACTGGAAAGTTGCTGGGAAAAAAGTTCTAAAATCACTTGTCTGTTAATACTGCTTTTTTTTTGTAAAACATACCAGCAAATCAATAGTTTGGATTCAATGATTTGGATTATAGAATATAATTAATGAGACATTTAAATTATAATATAGTTTAAAGAACTTAGTTCAGTCAGTTATTCTTCTAGTGTCTTTCTTCATAAGTAATGCTTGCCTTTTAAAATAAAATCTAGTCAAATAGACTATAGCTTAAAAAATGTATTCAAAAACAAATTCAAACCTGGGATATAACAGACCTGGCTTCTTTAGATCTAGGACAGATATTTTTCACATATTATTTGGAATAATTCAAGTTTCAATTTATATTATATATGTAAAAAGAAAACATTAATTGAAAAACGTAAACAGGCTCCTGGGGAAAGAACATTCCCTGAAAAAATATATTTATTATTGATATAATAACATCACTGATAATGGTAAGTCGTGTGTGTGTGTGTGTGTGTGTGTGTGTGTGTGTAATTTATTAAGGCATGTATTTCTTACTTTATATTCTAAAGACAAGTAGCATATATTACTTTTTTGGTCTAATTACAATTAATAGGTCTGAAAAGAAATGCTATTTTTTTTAACATTTGACACAAAGTTCCATGCATTGATTTGATGACAGGATTGATCCCTGTCACTTCAATCAAAATAACTGGCCATGTTACCCAAGAGAAATAAGAGTTTCACATAAAATGGTAATTCATTCACTGCCATCTATTTATATTAGCACTTCACATTTATATTTAACTCACATCTGCTGGTAATTTTTAAAGTATAGAACAATTTGAACTGCCTTAATAGCTTAGAGATAACATCCTTCATTCTCTACATGCAAGCTACTGTAGGACTTCTACTGGGTAGAGAAGCTAAGGTGTTACATTTAAGGAAAAAAAAGACAACCGGGTACTTTCCTTTCTGAAAAAGCAGTTGAGTTAGATAAGAAATCAGTAGAGAATATCACAGGTCAGCCCTATCAGTTACCACTAGTATAGCCATAGGCTACAGCAGACACAAGCCATGGGACAGATGAGGAGCTCCTTTTCTATCTAATGCATATACAGACTATTTCTTCAAATAATTTCTGACAGGTGTATGCTACATATCACTTTGTTAGTCCAATGACAACTAATGGATTAAAAAAGTATTATAACTGTATTTTAATGTTTAAGACAATGTATTATTTATTTAGGCTTGATTTCCTTGGAATTCCTCCCTGTTGTGGATTCATGTTCAAAAAGAGAATGCAGTTACATCACACAGAGATGTCCTGAAAGGGCTTTTCCTTTTGGCACAGGTTGCCTTTCTAAAGTACAAGGTACTAATACCAATGAGCAAGAAAAATTGAGCCACAGTGAGTATCTAAAAAGGAAAATAGAAGGAAGGATTCAGAATAGCTACTTCTTACTACGATGGATCACTGAGCACAGTCTCCTGAATAAAACTACCTTATGAGACAGATTATAAATCTAAAGTCTCTTTAATATAATGTCCACAATGCCCATTTTTCGGTGAAAATCACTAGACATACATAGAAACAGGAAATGTGATCCACAGTCAATGAAAAAGTAAAAATCAATCTGTTGAAATAAAACAGAAGCGGCCAGATAAGGGCAAATAAAACTGAAGATGGCAGATATATCTATCCATCTATAGATACTTAGACAGGCAATTGGAGTCTGAAAAGTAGAAGAAAAAGATAAGGCATAAATTAAGGAAAAACCGAAAGAATTTCAGCAAACTCTACACCAAGATGAATATAAGGAGAATCATATTTAGGCACATTATAATTAAACTACCACAAATCAAAGATAAGGAAAAATTCTCAAAAGCAGCCTGAAGGAGAAAGAAAAACATATACAAGGGAACAAAGATAAAATAGGGGCAGATTTCACATTACAAACAGTGACATACAGAAAGAGTAGAATAACTTTAAACTGCTTGTGGGAAAAAATGGCAGAATTTTAAGTCTCACAAAAACATAAGAGTGAAATGAAGTTATTTTTATATAAACAAACCTGAGAAACTTTGTCTCCAGCAGATGACCACTACAAAAAGTACTAATGGATATTCTTCAGGCCAAAGGGAAATGGTGCTAGATTGTAACTCAGATCTACAGGTAGAAAGGAAGACCATCAGAAATGGTAAATAAGTGGAAAATTTTAAAACTATCTTTTCTTCTTACAATTTGTATAAAATATATGTGACTGTTCACTGTAAGTTGAGGTTTACAATTTAGGCAAAGGTAAAAGTTACAATTACTATTAAAAATAGAAAAAAGGACAGGTAAATAAATTATACTGTGGTAAGATTATTGCATGTGTGTAGTGAAATAAAGAATGTGAAGTATCAGCTTTGAAATGAAAGGAGGGAGATAATAGTAAAGGAGGGTGATAATGAAAGGAGGGTATGATGATGTAAAGCTGTGAGCATGAAGAATAAAATATTGACTAGAATTAGACTATGAAGAGTTAAAAGTGCCTCCTCTTAGCCCTGGAACAACCACTAAAACACAATTAGAGAGAGATTTAAATATCAGTACAAGAAATAAATTTAATCATATTAACTGATTCAACTGAAAAGAAGGAAGAGAAGGAGGCACAAAAGAATAAAAAGAGAAGGTACAAGTAGAGAACAAATAAAGTGGACTTCATTCAAAATATATCAAAAACCACAGTAAGTATAAATGAACTAAATATTAAAAATTAAAAGGACTGACAGAATAACAAAGATGAATATAATAGAAACTATACTTAGGAAAAGTAGCCAGAAACACAAAAAAATACTTAGTGCATAATTTCACTAACATGAAATTCTAGAAGAGGCAAAAACATTCATCAGGAAAGTCTTATCAGTAGTTGCCTGGCATAGGAGCAAGTGCTGTGAAGATAACTGCAGAGGAAAGTGAGGGAACTCGCTGGGAAGTTGGAACTGTCCTGTATCTTAATTGAGCGGCACTTACACTCTAGTATATATCAGTCAAAGGTTATTGATCTGTACATTTATGAGAGAATCTTACTGCATGTGATATCTCAATAATGTTGTTTTCTAAATGTATCAAAATACTGATTGCTTAGTGATCAATATATCAGACTTTGAAACTTTGTGGGTTCAAATATTATCTCTGCTGTTTTCTTACTGTATGAATTGGGCAAATTACTTAATCATCCTAAGTTTTCTCTATATTTGGGAAAAATAGTAGTTCATAGGACTATTGAGAGACTTCCTTATCTGGAGTAGGTGTTCACCATATATCAATACCATACTGTATTAATATCATTAACATCACTACTATTTTTACTATTTACAGAATGTGAAGCTGTTGAGAGAGATATATCAAATCATGAAACAAAGTTATTCTCATTAAATCTTCAAATAATTCTTTAAAAAGAGAAATGAGACTTGGATCAAAAGTAAACTGAAAGAGATGCTAATTGGTAATGTAAGATAAGGCAATTAGAGTCAGATTTTGAGCAAGTCACTCAGTACATACAGAAAACATTAGTTTCCTGTTAATGTAGCAAGTGAGTTACCACAAGGGTTGTGGCTTAAAAGAACAAAAATGTATTACCTTACAATTCTAGAAGACAGAATTCCAAAATGGCTAAAATTGGGCTAAAATCAAGATGTCAGCAGGCCTACATCCTTCTGAAGGCTTTAGGGAAGAATATATTTCTTTGCCTTTCCTAGCTTCTAGAGGCTGCTTATATTTGGCCTATGGCTTCTTTCTTCATCTTCAAAACCAGCACATAGTATCTTTTCTTTTACATGACCTTCTCTCCTATATCAAATCTCTTGCCTCCATCTTATAAAGATACATGGAGTTGTTTTAAGACACACCAAGGTAATCCAGAATAATTTCCATCTGGAGATCCTTAATTTGATCACATCTGAAAAGCCCCTTCGGTCATATAAAATAACACTCAAAGATTCTAGGGATTAATACACAGTTGTCTTTGGGGGCCTACCAAATGTGGTAAGACCAAGATTGAAAATGAGAGGGGAGGAAAGGAGGAGACACTAATGTTCTGAGAAATTTTATTTTGAAAAGTTTACAAGTGTTTGGTCAAGGAGAAACAAATGCAAAACAAAAACAAATATACAAAATAAAATGTCATTGTTATTTTTAGGTGTTCTAAATGTTTATCTGCGTTTGAAAGGGCAGACAACGATAGAGAATCCACTGTGGTCTTCAAGTGGGAATAAAGGACAACGGTGGAATGAGGCTCATGTTAATATATATCCAATTACTTCATTTCAGGTAAGAAAAGAACAATCACTTCTGTGAATAGATTGCTACACATAAGCATAATGTTAAAGACAGAACTTAAGCATATATTAGAATATGAACATTCAGAAATTCTGTGATATGAGCATCGGAAAAATGACACTATTAATTTTTTCTTTAGTTCTCCAAGCTGTTTTATAAAGAGAAAATGCCCCTTTTCCTTATTAATTAATACCTATCAAGCAATATGTTTGAATAATTGTCTTTCAAAATCTAAATGATTTGCCTAGAGGAAATGTAATCCATTTCTACAAATTCACATGTGTATATTTTGTTATCTGAAGATAAATAACACAGCTTCTTATAATAATGGAAGCTGGATAGTCAGTTCTCAATTTGTATGATTTTATTTGATGAAATTTTATATACTTTAGCAAAATGTGTCTCTTTGAGGTAATGTAGTTTTAGTAATTTGTCACTTTAATTACCAGTCAGAGAACTTGACAAAGCTATTTTTCTTTGTTTTGACATTGAAAAGTAAGACTTGGATTGAATTAAGAAAGTTAGCTACAAATATATAATATAAATTTTAATTATAAAAATGGCCACTATGTCTTGAGACAATATTTCATGAAATTATGGCAGCAGAGAAAATAATGTAGTTTAGTGATTTTAGTAACTATATATAGTATCTTTATATACTCAGGTTGAGTGTTTTTTTTCTATCAGTGGTTTCCTCAATATATCAAAACATATTTTTGCTTCCTACGTGACTACCTCACCAACACAAAATTATTAAATCAAGTATCTATATATACAATATGCTTTTAAGAGAATAGTCATATGAATATTTCCTTCAGGATAGTCCTTTATTGCCATAGACATCAATTTAGTAAATATTTATTGAGCATGTTCAAGATGATCATTTATTGTCTTAGTGAACAATTCAGTAAATACTTTTTGAGCTACTGTGGTATGCCAGGAACATACTCAGGTTGATGACCTAAAAATGATTGCTTACCTCAAATTGGTAGAAATATACATGTAAACACTGACATCACGTGCTGTAAAAAATGCAATAATAGGGGTATGCACAAGGTTCTGTGAGTACATCCAAACAACAAGAACAGTACGGAGGAAAGTTCAGAGACATTTGAGGTAAGAGGTGAAAACCTGAACCAAGGAGAGGGATTGCAGAGCCAAGCAAGAGCTAACATTAATACTGCAGCACAGTTCAGACTGAACAGACATCGACATCATATGCCATAGAATTTGCCTGAGGAACAGAAAAACTTTTATCTGGAATTTGGTACCTAAGGATACATCAGACTGGTGTGATCTGAGGTTAAAGCTTAGATAATGGGGTGTCATTGGAAGATTTTTTTCTGGGAATGGTATGGTACAGTGGTCATGCTGGGGTTCACGGAGGTAAAATTGGGCTGGCAAACAAGTTAGCACTCATAAAATTCACATAAAAGATGCTGAAGGAATAAACTCAGGAAGTGGTATAAAGAAAAGTGGATGATTTCAAGATCTACTTAGGTGTGAAAACTAGCAGAACATGTTTATGTTGGGAATTTGGGAAGTAGCCATAAATGACTAACAAGTTTCTAACTAGGGAATCTTGGGTAATGCTTGTGCTACACGTTGCCTTAAATAACAGAAAAGGGAAAAGAGACAAGCTTCAAGGTTGAATATGGCTACTTCTTTCTTGGACATGGTAACACAAAATGCCTATAGACTATCTTTTTAAAGCTGTGCAGGTTGTTATATGTGTTTATCTGAAACTCTGGGGACATATATATTTGTGAGTCATCAGGTTGTATGTGCTTCCTAGAATGTGGTTAATATTTCCAAGGGAAAGTGTACATATGTGAACAGTGATTAAATGATGGAACCATGTAGAAAACTAACCAATCATTAGTAAGAACTGTGGGAGAAAAGCTAAATCCTAAGTAGTGTTTTTTAAAGTTAAAAGGAAGGAGATCCAGGAAAGTTGGGTGCCCACAGAATTTAAAGACAGTGATTATCAAGTAGAAAAGCAAGTTGAGTCCAGTGCACTTGACCTACAGGTAGATCTTAAATTTTTATATTTATGTAAACATTTATTCTATAATTGTTCCTATTCTTAAAGTATGAATTTTGTTTTGTGTGTTTTGTTCTTGCAAGAGAATGTTGCTTTAGTCAGGTTGTTACAGCAGGAAGAATTCAGAATGGAATGTCCCCCTGGATATAAGCAAAGAGGAGGGTTCATAGAGGAAGGAAATGAGAGGCAGAGTATCAGCTCCAAACTTGAGGTTCCCATCTTATAGGAAAGAACTGCTTTCCTTTGTGATTTGGTCCATCTTACTCCATTGCATCTTATAACCAGAATTTTTTATTTAAAGAAGGAATTTCAAGATGTCTGTTAGTCTTTAGTTACCAGGAAGGATGTGGTCAGTATAAATTGAGTAAAACATTTTTACGGTCCACTACAAATGGCAACTTTTCTGCAGCCTCAGAGATTTACATATTAAATTCACAAAAAGAGATTGATAAGAATGTTTAAAGCAGATATTCAATAAAGCTTCATTCACAATACTCCAAACCTAGGAGAACTCTCGTCACTACAATCATCTCTTCACCTCATTCCAACTGAGAAATCAGACTGGGTTTGCATAGTTGGTGCTCACAGTGGTTATCATTTCTAGTGCTTTTTGTTCCTTTTTGTAGAGGCATATTTCCATCAGGTATCAATTTTATTCTGCTTGAAGGACTTCTTTTAACATTTATTTATTGTAGTGTGGGTCTGCTAAACATGAATTCTTTTCACCTTTTGAACTTCTATAAAAGTCTATTTCACCTTCAGTTTTTGAAAGATCTTTCCTGAGTATAGGATTGTAGTTTTTCCTTTTGGAACTTTAAAGATATTCTGCTTTTTGTTTGCATTGTTTCCAAGAATAGATCTGTTGAAATTCCTATTCATCCTTCTATGTGTAAGGTGACTGGTTGCTTTTAAGATTTTCTCTTTATCACTGGTTTTGAGCAATGTAACTGTGGCATGTTTTTATGTTATTTTCTTCATTTTTCATGTGCTTGTGGTTCATTGATCTTGGATCTGTGAGTTTATAGTTTATATAAAATTTAAGTATTGTCTAGCTAATGTTTCTTCAAATATTTTTGTTCCTCTTCCTCTCCTTTGGAGACTCCAGTGCAATATCTTATATGTGTATATAAGACCCCTTATTTATGTGCACCTATATAAGGTGTTACGCAGTTCATTGATGCTTTCTAAATTTTTTTTTTAGTTTATTTTTACTTGGGTTTTGTTTTGTGTAGTTTTCTGGTATATTTTCACATTCATTAATCATTTCTTCTGCAATGTCTAATCTACCTTGTCATAATCAGTGTATTTTGTATCTCAGACATTGCAATTTTCATCTCTATAAGTTCAACTTGAGTCATTTAAAAAATATTTTCCACATCTCTAGTGAATGTTTTGAAAATATGAAAACAAGTTATAATAGATTTCTTAATGTCTTTGTCTGCTAATGCTAACAAACACCTGTATCAGTTCTTGGTTTGTTTTGACTGATTTTTTCCTCCTCATTACAAGCCATTATTTATCTGCTTCTGTGCATGTCTGATAGTCTGATTGGCTGCCAAACACTGTGAATTTTATTTTGAGAGGTAAAATTCTTAGTTTTATAAAATGCAAAATTTGTTTTGTATTTTTTATATTTCTGTAATTATTCTTAAGCTTGTTTGGTAGTTATTTGGAAGCTGTTTGATCATTTTGGTCTTGTTTATAAGGTTTATTAGAAGACACTGAGCAGTATTTAATGTGGGGCTAATTATTTCTCACTACCAATGCAAGAGTCTTCTGAGCACTGTGTCCAATACCCCACAAATTTTGAGGTTTCCATGTCTGGTGTGAGTTGAGTACTGTTCCCTTGAATGCATCATTCTCGTTCTTTCCCAGTTCTTGGGTAGTTACTGGACATTTGTGTACTGATTAGTACATTACTAAATAATCTAGGGGGAATTTCTGCAGATCTCTGTAACTCTGTCTGCTTGTATTCTACCCTGCACAATCTAGCTGCTTTGGACTCCATAGACTGTCAGCTCTATCTCCTCACCCCAGAATTTCTACCAGGTTCTATCTTTCTTCTGGTTGCACTATGATCTCTAATTCTGTATAGGACAGTCATAGGGTTCACCTTGTTTGATTGCTGTCACTCATTGACTGTTGTTCTTCATTACCTGATGCTCACTTTTCATATATTTTTTCTAGTTATTTGGTTGTTTCTGATGAGAGGATAGATCTGGCTCCTGTTAATCTGTCTTGCTGGAAGCAAATGAAAAAGTAGCAGTTTTTAATGAAGCATTATTAAGTTATGTGAATTATCAGTCGAAAAGAAATCATATTTTTATTTTAGATTTTTATGTTCTTTTATTCTCTGACATATTTATAGGTCTGTTGCCTAAAGAGTCTTTAATTTCATAAATCTCGATTTTTGAAGGAAACATGAAACACAACTACATCATCGTACTGCATATATTGTCTGCATTTTGTCTTGGTTTTGAGTTTGTTGTTATTTTGAACTCTTTACAGACAAAAGCATTTTTTTACTCAAAAATCATTTATAACCTATTGAGCTTTTCAAAAATACTTGCTTTGGTATATAATGCCTACCAGTAAAACATAGTAAAAACTGTACAGAATATATTAGCATATAAATTAAGTTATGAGAAGTTTTAATATTACTCAGATGTAGCTTTGTGGCATTGTAGAATGTCTTTAATTCAAGTGGAAAGGATATCGCCTACCTCTTAGAATTTTAAATGAGATATAAGTGATCTTGAGCCTCTGCTGCACTGACACTTAGGTTGTTTTATTTCTTCGGAGTTGCATGCATTTAAATTATTTTGATTTATAAACCCTTTAAAAAATAACCACTTTCAAAGTCCTTTGTTTGAGTGTGTCCAATTAGTTTGCTTAGCTGAAAATAAAATTGTTTAGTATTTCTCAGGGTAAGTAGAGGTTTTAGCCT